ATTCCACCCCTCATTTTTCCCTTCCTTCTCCTAATGTCCTCCATGCTATTCCTTATATTCCACAAATAAGTGAAACCATATGATAATTGACTTTCTCTGCTTGACTTATTTCACTTAGCATAATCTCTCCTGTCCCATCCTTGTTGATGTAAAAGTTGGGTATTGATCCTTTCTGATGGCTGAGTAATATTCCATTGTATATATGGACCACATCTTCTTTATCCATTCATCTATTGAAGGGCATCTCGGGTCTTTCCACAATTTGGCTATTGCGGACATTCCTGCTATGAACATTGGGGTGCAAATGGCCCTTCTTTTCATTACATCTGTGTTTTGGGGGTAAATACCCAGTAGTGCAATTGCTGGGTCATAGGGTAGCTCTATTTTTAATTTTTTGAGGAACCTCCACACTGTTTTCAGTGTGGTTGTACCAACTTGCATTCCCACCAACAGTGTAAGAGGGTTCTCCTTTCTCCACAACCTCTCCAACATTTCTTGTTTCTTGCCTTGTCAGTTTTTGCCATTCTAACTGGTGTAAGGCCGTATCTCAATGTGGTTTTGATTTGAATTTCCCTGATGACATACAAATGGCTAACAGACACACATTTGGTTTTCTTAGTTTCGTGGTCCTCTTTATTATGCTTTATTTCCTGGGTTTAGTCTGGGTGGATTGTTGGCATTCCTCTGGATTTCCCGCTTATGGGTTTGTAAGTGCTACCTGATTTTTTTATTCTGTTGATTCTTACTGCTAAAATCTATAAACTATGTATTTACTCTCATTTTTTTTCAGTGCATAAATCAGTATCTGCCCAACAACATAAGCCTTTTTACCAGTTTGACATTTGCCACAAGAAACTGGGTTTTCTCCTTTCTCCTTTTTTCCTCACAAAAGCTAATTAATCTTTTTCTTTTTAAGACAGCAGTGTGTTCCTTTTTTTAATGTATGTGCTCTGGTCAAATCTCCACACTGGATCAGTTTCCTGGATACCTCCTGCAGCAAGTGCTGGCTTTCAGGCAGCTTACGGGGATAAATTAGTGTGGTTTTATTCAAAATCAATGTCAGAGGCTAATTTTACAATCAGACATAGCTTTTATGGGGCCCTGAGGTTTTTGTCACCTTACCTCTGGCACAGGGAGTAGTCCCTGAGTCTTTGACTGTCATATTCAGAGTTTTATCAGCTACAGCCTTGGTGCAGTTGACAAATCCCTGGGAATCTGGTTACCAAGACAGAAAGCTAGCTCTTCAGGACAATGGGATTTGCAGTCAGTGCTCCCTGATGCTCACTCAAAATGTCTCTGTATTTGGGGATGCACATATTAAAAACAAAAACAAAAAAACTCCAAAGAGTTTAGAACCAAAAAACAGGAAAGTCTATTGCTTCAAGAGCAGATCACTCATTTTATTGCCTCCTGGCATCATAAGTTCATAACCAAAAAGTCCCCATTTGACAATGGGTGGCAGTTGTCAGTTTGAGCCCTTACCCTCTCTTCGTCAAGGGCCAAATATGGCATTCTTGGTGCCAATTTCTCTGGACTCCCAGATGACTGGAAGGTGTTCCTGACAGCTTCCAAGTCCCTGAACAAGAGACCAGTGTTTATATCCATCAAGGACAGTTTTTGACTCGCTGATACTTTTATTTATCACTTGTGGTCTTGACCTCCTGTCCCTCCATAATAAGTGACAGGTGTGTGAGGAGGCCCATCACAGAGTCTCCCTGAGTAAACTTGGTTGAGGGATGGGACTCAGGAAGGAAGGAGAGCAGGTCCTAAATGCCATGGGACATACCTGATGTCTAGCACGTGGAGAACTTTGGGAGGGTCACATGGAAGCGTCAAAGGATAATTTTCAGAATGTTACAAACCTGAGCCACTTATAAATACAGAATGTTGAGGGGGAATTCCTGAGTTAGTTACAAAGTTGGCTTATTTTCCAGAGAGCAATAAAACCATACCCCTAGAGTAAACCTTTCTATTAGACAGTAGTCATTTGCACCTCTCAGGGGGAAAAAAAAATCCACAAGTGAACACATGACTTTAGAGTCTGGCTTTTAATCAATAATGAACAGAACATCAAATAGAGGTATATCCCCTGGATAACTCAAAAATCCTCATCAGACCCATTGAACAATATCTAAAATGGTATGAAAAACACATGCTGACTTGTCTGGGTCTTATTCCATCTGACCCTGGGTCTTGACTGACTGTCCCTGAATTCTTTGGAGACACTAGAAATGCATCTACTAAGTCCAATCTAAGTGTACCAACTGCATAGAAAGGGAAATGCCCCTTCTCCAGAGCAGACATGGAAAAATCACTCGGCAACCCACCCACACTGCTTTTTTTCAGCAGGCCCCCTGGGATCCAGGCAGTCCTGACATTCTCCCAGGTCAGGTGAACAGATCAGGGGTAGGTTCAGTGATGAAGGTGCTGCAGTAGGAAGCACCAGACCTGGGACAGCACTCACATCCTCTTGAGATGGAGACCAGGACCAGGCTGTGTTTTCCACATGGCCCCCTGGCCCTTTCCCAGGTCTGAGGCCCTGAGCTCCCAGCCACTGCTGACCATGTATCCTCAGAGTGCTCACTCTGGTCCTGGCAGGCCCCTGCCTCCGACCTCATTTCCCACCAACCTGTGGGTTCTCAGTGACCCAGCCTAGGACTGGGCTATTCCTTGTTCTCACACACAGCATGACCATGACCAGTCATCACATGGGTTCAGGACACCACCCCTCATACCAGTTCTGAGTCTGGGCAGCACCTAAACAATGTGGCTTATCTGGTCAAGCCCCATTTCCCTCATGTCCATGGCCTCCCATGGCTCCAGGGCTCTTGAGTCCCAGACTCAGACAGACAGTGCTTGGGGTCCAGGGCTCACAGGTAGAGTTTCAGTAGAACCTAATGGAAATGGCAGGTCCTATCTTGGGGGACTCCTTTCCTCCACAGGGGAAGTGAATGTGTGTGTGTGTGTGTGTGTGTGTGTGTGTGTGTGTGTGTGTGTGAGAGAGAGAGAGAGAGAGAGAGAGAGAGTGCACTCCAGTAACATCTTAGCAAAAAGGACATGAAATCCAGCAAAGGAAAGTAAGGCCTGCCTTGCATTTTATTTTATGAAATGAAAGAGATTTGGAGAGACAGGTTGAAAAGAGGTTAAAATAAATAAAATTTTAATGTTAAAATATACTTAGAAATAGATCCCTACATGTAAATGCATATGAACATAAGACACGTCTCTGGGCCCGTAGGGGAAGCTAACCCAAACAGAGCACAAGCAGCGGTCACCCCCATCCCCAGCATGTCCAAGCTGGTCCACACTGCCCTGCTGGTCCACACTGCTCCAGACATCAGAGTCCCTATGGTTCCTGCCTACCTGTCCATAGGAAAGACAATTCCAAGATTTCTTTCCAAAAACACAGTCTTTCCTAAGACATTTACATATGACTTAGACTGTTCCACAAACAGTGGAGACCCATGGAGCCTTAAGCTGACCAGTCCCACAAGCCCCTCCAAAGCTGGGTGATGGGTCTTCTGCCTGCAGTTCCATCAGTGTGTCAGAGGTGGAGGGGTGGAGGTTAGGGGGTAATTTTTGATGGAGTGTCCTGGCCCGAAGGAAAGAACACTTTTTAATCAGGATAAGTACATTAGGTCCAAGAAATGCAAAAATCTGTACCAGATCCAAACCCTAGTCCCTTAATTAGAGGAGGATCTTGAGAGGGGGAAGAGGAAACAGGGCAGGGGCTTCATCAGAAGAAAGTGGGCATGGAAGTGGGTGTGCCTGGAAGAAAATCATGGGGCCTGATGGACAGAGAGCAGGGAGAGCCACAGGAAAAGCAAGGATTTTGCAAGGTGAATGTCACTTGTCCCTGCTGCTCTAAGTGGTACAGTGTCCCTACCCATGAAACATCAGTTGGGTAAAACACAGGAACGAGAGGTAAAAGGAATGGCCTTTGAGTTTCATGGCCTCATTCAGTCTGGGGCAGAAACACTGCAATCCTTACCACCTGCCAAGCCCTGTAAGGTGAAGCCTGGCCCGTGTGTGTGCACATTTGAAATATAGTTGGCTTTCTGAATTTTACCCACCACCATGGTTCAAACAGACATGTCTACTTATTTTTTTTTATTTTTAATCATGGTAAATACATATAAAATCTACCATCCTCACCATTTTTAAGTATACAGTTCAGTAGTGTTAAATATAGTTACTCTGTTGTGAAACTAATCCCCAGAACTCTTCCATATTGCAAAACTGAAACTGAGTACCATTAAATAATTCCCCATTAGACTGACTTATTTTTAATGATTACTTTCTTCAAGAGAATTTCATCTCCTGCTATCATCCATGTTTGCCTACTTCCTTCTTCACATTCCCCATCTCTGTCTCTCTCTCTCTCTTTCTCAATCCATCTATCTCTCTCTCTCTCTACACACACACACACACACACACACACACACACTCACACACACGTACATGCGCGTACACACGAACAACACAGCTTACTCTGAAGGCGTTATTGCCCTTTGTCTCTCTTCGTGTGACCATTGTTAACATTTACAGGAGAAAAAACACAAGTTCCCAAATTCACAGAGACCCCACCGGGGAAGATTTCTGCAGGAGTTCTCCCAGCCCAGGTGACCTGTGGACTCAGAACTCTCAGGAAGAAAGAGCCTCAGGCCAAAAAGGAGGGTTCCAGAAGGAACCTGTTGAGTTAGCACCCACTGTTTTCAGACCTCTGGAAGGGGTTATTACCCAATCAAAAAGGAGTCCCTCCTCAGATTTGCAGGGGGGAATGGAATCAGACCTCACTCCATCCTTTGTACTCAGGGACAAACTTATTCCTGGTGGTGGGTCACCAAGTTGGCCAAAGTCAAGGGGCTTCCCTTGAGGCAAAAAAAAAAAAAAAAAAAGAAAAAAAAAAAGGAATTGGACATACCCATCTTTTGTCACCACCTAATAAGAAACTAGGAAACAAAATTAGCAGAGAGGCATGCATGAGGAAACCACATTGGTAACACGGTGCATGCCATTTATCTCTTCACAGAAAAAGGTAGAGATGGTGGTGGTGGGGGGTGCTCCAGAACCCCCTAAGCATCTGCACACTGTTTCTTCATCACCATGAATTCACCATTCCAGGGGAGTGCTCCGACCAAAAAACTGCACATTACTTTCTGAAAAAGAAACACAACCACAACAAAATCGGTAATGCCAAAAAAGAGGGGGAAAAAATGTCCTGTTGCTAGCTGGAGGATGGGTCCTCAGCCAACAGTGAATGCTCCTAGGAATCCCCTAGACCTTTGCAGCCATCAGCAGATACCTGGAGGGGTCTCTGTTCCCATAAGAACCAGGGACAGACAGCAAATACTAACAATCATCATGTTTTGCTGGGAGATCAGATGCAAACTTGATTTTATTTTTAATTCTCTCTAATATTTTCTATAATGTAAATAAAGCAATTCTATGTCAGATATAAACTAATATATGTTATCTTAATAATTAAATAATGTCTTTTAAGTCTAATAATGCCTTTTGTTCTGATAACAAGAGCAATTAGGAGGGCTCTAGGGCCTACCAGCTGTTATTCCAAAGAGCCCATCACTCCATTTCAAAATACCATAGAAATGGCAAATGAAAGATTGTATGTGTGTGTGATAGGTGGATGGATGGATGGATGGATGGATGGATAGGAAAGTAGGTAGGTAGATAGATAAATAGCTAGATAATAAAAAAAATCTAGCTAGTTAGATAGATAGCTGGATGATACATATATAGCTGTCCTGGAAAAACAGCAAAGAGCATCTTAAATAATTGGAAACATTGAGATGCTATTAGGAGACAGAGAAAAGAAAGCCTGGTCTCTGCTGAGTTTTGGACACACACAAAGGAGGATTATGCAGGTCGTCCCCCCCCACAGAAACCCACAAAAAACACCAAATCAAGAGGGTTTTATAGGCAAATTACACAAAACCTTGGCAACCCAAAGCTCTTGTGGTCCCTAAACTGATCCAGAACACACACAAAAAAGATGGAAAGTCCTTATTCTCATTATACCAGACCAGAAAAATCCTGAAACCAAAATATAACAGGAATAAATTATAACTCAAACTCCCTTAAAACAAAAATCCTAAAAAAAAAAAAATACTGGCAAATTAAAGGCATTTGCATATTAAACAATTGTTATCCCTAACACAGTGTTTCCCAGACTTTCCCAGTGATATGAAATGTGTGGGGTGTCTGTACCTGGAAATTCTGAAGGAATAAATTTGGGATGAGGCCATGGAACTGTGTGTGTGTGGTTTCACTACATGCTCCAAGTGACTTTCTTTTTATTTTATTTTTAAGTAATCTCTACACCCAATACAGGGTTCAAATCCACAATCCTGAGATCAAGAGTCACACACTCCACAGACTAAGCCAGCCAGGTGCCTCTGATTCTTAAATTTAGGGAAGATTAAGAGTACTTAATGTATATAATTCCTATATAAAAAGTCCTTTAAAAATGGTATATTGAATTTCACCATATTCTAAAAGGGTGGACACAACCCACCATGCCCAACAGAATTGTTCCCACAAAGAAAGGTGGCAAGAAGAAGGGACTGTTCTGCCATTAGTGAGGTGACCAGAGAATATACCATCCATGTTCACAGCACATCTATGGAGGACCCTTCAAGAAGTGTGCCCCCAGGGCACTCAGGGAGAGCTAGAAATTTGCTGTGAAAGGGATGGATGTGCATATTGACACCAGGCTCAACAAAGCTGTCTGGCCCAAAGCAGTAAGGAATGTCCCATGCCATATCTGTGTGCAGTTGTCCAGAAAATGCAATGAAGACAGACATTCCCTAAACAAGCTTATACATTGAGGTACTAGGTACTTGTCACCACTTTGAACAACCTGCAGTCAGTCAGTATGGATAAGAACTAACTAAGGCAATCCAAGCAATAAAATCCCCCCCTAAAAAAAATCTTCCAGATATGTAAGAATGACAAAGCATTAATGAATCTATTACTTTATTTCACTAATGGGTCAAAGAAGAACAATTATTTAGTATACTTGGTAGATGCTGAAAGAATAATTGATAGAAGAAACATAATTTAAAAAATAACTCTTAGCTGTCCATCAAGAGATGAATGGATAAGAAGATGTGGTATATATATACAGCCATACAGAATATTATGCAGCCATCAGAAAATGAAATCTTGCCATTTGCAACAACACGGATGGAACTTAAGCGAAATAAGTCAATCAGAGAAAGACAAGTATCATGTGATCTCACTGACATGAGGATTTTGAGAAACAAGACAGAGGATCACAGGGAAAGGGAGAAAAAAAATGGAACAAGACGAAAGCAGAGAGGGAGACAAACCATAAGAGACTCCTAATCTCAGGAAACAAACTGAGGGTTGCTGGAGTGGAGGGGGGTGGGAGGGATGGGGTGGCTGGGTGATGGACACTGGGGAGGGTATGTGTTATGGTGAGTGCTGTGAATTGTGTAAGACTGATGAATCACAGACTTGTACTCCTGAAACAAATAATACATTATATGTTAATAAAATTTAAAAAAAAAGAAAGAAAAAATAACTCTTGGCAAAAGGAATTAGAGGAATTCCAGAAATCAACACTTGATATAATATTTAATAATAGGATATAAATACTGAAAGCACTGCCATCAAAGCTGGGAATAAGAAAAATTGCCCAGCATTATTACTGCTCAGCTTTATTCCAAAGATTTGGAAAGAAAAAAAAACTGTTTTCAATATTGATAAGTGTGCGCTTAAAAACGTGCACCTTAAAATTTGAGATGGTCAGCTAGATAGAAAAAGATGGCGGAGGAGTAGGGGACCCTATTTCAACTGGTCCCCTGAATTGAGCTGGATATCTACCAGACCATTCTGAGCACCCACGAAACCAGTCTGAGATGTAAGAAGATCTGGATCTCTACAAACAGAATATTGCAGGCAGTTGGTTTTGAGGTACGAATCCGGGAGCCGTGATTCCACAGGCAGATATTGGAGGATAAATGGCAGCGGGAGGGTGTCTAGCCGTGGGGATCCTACACCGCCGGTGAGTGACAGCCTCGCACCCTGGTGACAGGGCACAGACTGGCAGACCGGTAGCAGAGCGGAAAGGACTTTAGGGCAGCCCCCGGGGCAGAAACCCAGAGCAGCGGGGTCACGCCTGCGAACTGGGAGCGGCTGGCGGTTTTAGAAGCACAAAGGGCAGAGATGTGCCCCGACCTGGAGGCAGGACTAGGGGCGCTGCGGAGGGGCACACAACCCAGGCCGCTGCAGTTTATAGCCGCATGGACAGAAATGGAGACAGTGTGGCCTGGAGAGCTCACTGAAGAACAGACCGCGGTCTCTCTGCTCTGAGGCAGAGGGTTGGAAACAGTCTCTTCGGCTCTGACTCACGGAAGAGATGCGGAAAGCCACCAGGGAAAGCCGCCAGAGAACAAAATCCCCAAAAACTGATTCCCACAGAGCCCATCCCTGCCACAGGTGGGCAGGGCAACTCTGCCCAAACAGGGTTGCCTGAGTAACAGCGCAGCAGGCCCCTCCCCCAGAAGAAAGGCTGGGAAAACAAGAGGCCAGCAACCCTAAGATCCCAAGAAAACAGGTGCATCTTGCTTGGGTTCTGGTCAGTAATTTGGACGCTATACATTCCCTCAAACACCCATCAACAGAATGACTAGGAGGAGGAGTCCCCAAAATAGAAAAGACTCAGAGATTATGGCTTATGCTGCAGATTTACAAATGGATGCAGATATAACCAAGATGTTGGAGATGGAATTCAGGTTAGCAATTGTGAAGACAATGGCTAGAATGGAGAAATCAATTAATGGCAACATAGAGTCTCTAAGGGCTGAAATGAAAGCTGAATTGGCAGAACTTAAAAATGCTGTCAATGAGATCCAATCCAATCTAGATAATCTAACAGCTAGGGTAACTGAGGCAGAAGAACGAATAAGCGACCTGGAAGACAATATAATAGATAAAAAGGGAAAAGAGGAGGCCAGGGAAAAACAACTCAGAATCCATGAAAATAGAATCAGAGAAATAAGTGACACCATGAAGCGTTCCAATGTCAGAATAATTGGAATCCCGGAGGTAATGGAGAGAGAGAGAGGACTAGAAGATGTATTTGAGCAAATCATAGCTGAGAACTTGCCTAATCTGGGGAATGAAACAAACATTTGCATCCTAGAGGCAGAGAAGACCCCTCCCAAGATCAAGGAAAACAGACCAACACCCCAGCATGTAATAATAAACCTTGCAAATCTTAGAACCAAGGAAACCATCTTAAGGGAAGTTAGGGGGAAGAGATTCCTTATGTACAGAGGGAGGAACATCAGAATAATGTCAGACCTATCCACAGAGATCTGGCAAGCCAGAAAGGCCTGGCAAGACATATTCAGGGTACTAAATGAGAAGAACATGCAGCCAAGAATACTTTATCTGGCAAGGCTTTCGTTTAGAATGGATGGAGAGATGCAGAGCTTCCACGACCGGCAGAAACTGAAAGAATATGTGACCACTAAGCCGGCCCTGCAAGAAATATTAAGGGAGGTTCTATAAAAGGAGAAAGACCCCAAGAGTGATATACCACAGAAATTTACAGGGACAATCTATAAAAACAATGTCTTCACAGGCAACATGATGACAATTAATTCATATCTTTAAATAATCACTCTCAACGTGAATGGCCTAAATCCTCCCATAAAATGGCACAGGGTTGTAGATTGGATAAAAAGACAGGACCCATCCATATGCTGCCTACAAGAGACTCATTTTGAACCTAAAGATACATCCAGACTGAAAGTGAAGGGATGGAGATCCATCTTCCATGCCAGTGGACCTCAAAAGAAAGTTGGGGTAACAATTCTTATATCAGACAAATTAGATTTTAAACTGAAGTCTGTAATTAGAGACACAGAAGGACACTATATCATTCTTAAAGGGTCTATCCAACAAGAAGATCTAACAATTGTAAATATCTATGCCTCCAACATGGGAGGAGCCATCTATATAAGCCAACTGTTAACTAAAATAAAGAGTCATATTGATAACAATACGTTAATTGTAGGAGAGTTCAATACTCCACTCTCAGCAATGAAAGATCATCTAAGCAGAAAATCAACAAGGAAACAGAGCTTTGAATGATACATTGGATCAGTTGGACCTCATAGATATTTACAGAACATTCCCCCCTAAAACAACAGAATACTCATTCTTCTCAAGCGCACATAGAACTTTCTCCAGAATAAACCACATACTGGGTCACAAATCAGGTCTCAACCGATACCAAAAGATTGAGATTATTCCCTGCATATTCTCAGACCACAATGCTTTAAAACTGGAACTCAATCACAAGAAAAAATTTGGCAGAAATTCAAAGACTTGGAAGCTAAAGACCACTTTCTCAAGAATGTTTCGGTCAACCCGGAAATCAAAGAAGAACTTAAACAGCTCATGGAAATCAATGAGAACAAAAACATATTGGTCCAAAACCTATGGGATACCACAAAGGCGGTCCTAAGGGGGAAATACATAGCCATCCAAGCCTCACTCAAAAAAAATAGAAAAATCCCGAATTCACCAACTAACTCTACACCTTAAAGAAATAGAGAAAAAGCAACAAATGATGCCTAAGCCACGCATTAGAAGAGAAATAATTAAAATTAAAGCAGAGATCAATGAATTAGAAACCAGAAACACAGATCAGATCAACGAAACTAGAAGTCGGTTCTTTGAAAGAATTAGTAAGATCGATAAACCACTGGCCAGACTTATCCAAAAGAAAAGAGAAAGAACCCAAATTAATAAAATTATGAATGAGAGGGGAGAGATCACGACTAACACTAAGGAAATAGAAACAATTATTAGAAATTATTATCAACAACTATATGCCAATAAACTGAGCAATCTGGATGAAAGGGCTTCCTAGAAACCTATAAGCTGCCAAGACTGAAACAGGAAGAAATTGACAACCTGAATAGACCAAAAACCAGTAATGAGATTGAAGCAGTGATCAAAAACATCCCAAAAAACAAGAGTCCAGGACCTGATGGATTCCCTGGGGAATTCTACCAAACATTCAAAGAAGAAATAATACCTATTCTCCTGAAGCTGTTTCAAAAAATAGAAACAGAAGGAAAACTTCCAAACTCATTCTATGAGGCCAGCATTATGTTAATCCCCAAACCGAACAAAGACCCCATCAAAAAGGAGAATTTCAGACTGATATCCCTGATGAATATGGTTTCAAAAATCCTAGCTAATAGGATCCACAATACATTAAAAGGATCATCCACCACGACCGAGTGGGATTTATCCCCAGGATGCAAGGGTGGCTCAACATTCACAAATCAATCAATGTGATAGAACACATTAATAAGAGGAGGGAGAAGAACCATATGGTCCTCTCAATTGATGCAGAAAAAGCATTTGACAAAATACAACACCCTTTCCTGATTAAAACTCTTCAGAGTATAGGGCTAGAGGGAACATTCCTCAAGTTCATAAAATCCATCTATGAAAAACCCACAGCGAATATCATCCTCAATGGGGAAAAGCTGAGAGCCTTTCCCTTAAGATCAGGAACATGTCAAGGACATCCACTCTCACCACTATTGTTCAACATAGTACTAGAAGTCCTAGCAACGCCAATCAGACAACAAAAAGAAATAAAAAGTATTCAAATTGGCAAAGAAGAAGTCAAACTCCCTCTTTTCGCAGATGACATGATACTTTATGTGGAAAACCCAAAAGACTCCATCCCCAAATTACTAGAACTCATACAGCAATTCAGTAATGTGGCCGGATACAAAATCAATGCACAGAAATCAGTTGCTTTCTTATACACTAACAATGCAACTGTAGAAAGAGAAATTAGAGAAACGATTCCATTTACAATAGCACCAAAACCTATAAGATACCTTGGAATAAACCTAACCAAAGAGGTAAAGGATCTATACTATAGGAACTACAGAACACTCATGAAAGAAATTGAAGAAGACACAAAAAGATGGAAAAATATTCCATGCTCATGGATCGGAAGAATAAACATTGTTAAAATGTCTATGCCACCCAGAACAATCTATACCTTCAGTGCCATCCCGATCAAAATTCCAATGACATTTTTCAAAGTGCTGGAACAAATAATCCTAAAATTTGTATGGAATCAAAGACCCCGAATCGCCAAGGAAATGTTGAAAAAGGAAAACGAAGCTGGGGGCATCACGTTGCCTGATTTCAAGCTATATTACAAAGCAGTGATCACCAAGACAGCATGGTACTGGCACAAAAACAGACATATAGACCAATGGAACAGAATAGAGAACCCAGATATGGTCCCTCAACTCTATGGTCAAATAATCTTTGACAAAGCAGGAAAAAACATGCAATGGAAAAAAGTCTCTTCAATAAATGGTGCTGGGAAAATTGGACAGCCACATGCAGAAGAATGAAACTCGACCATTCTCTAACACCATTCACAAAGATAAACTCAAAGTGGATGAAAGACCTCAATGTAAGACAGAAATCCATCAAAATCCTAGAGGAGAACATAGGCAGTAACCTCTTTGACATTGCCCACAGCAACTTCTTTCAAGATACATCTCCAAAAGCTAGTGAAACAAAAGCAAAAATGAACTTTTGGGACTTCATCAAGATAAAAAGCTTCTGCACAGCAAAGGAAACAGTCAACAAAACAAAGAGGCAACCCACAGAATGGGAGAAGATATTTGCAAATGACACTACAGATAAAGGGCTGGTATCCAAGATCTATAAAGAACTTAAACTCAACACCCAAAAAACAAATAATCAAGTCAAAAAATGGGCAGAAGATATGAAAAGACACTTCTCTGAAGAAGACATACAAATGGTTAACAGACACATGAAAAAATGTTCATCATCATTAGCCATCAGAGAAATTCAAATCAAAACCACATTGAGATGCCACCTTACACCAGTTAGAATGGCAAAATGGACAGGAAAAGAAACAACAAATGTTAGAGAGGTTATGGAGAAAGGGCAACCCTCTTACACTGTTGGTGGGAATGCAAGTTAGTACAGCCACTTTGGAAAACAGTGTGGAGGTTCCTCAAAAAATTAAAAATAGAGCTACCCTATGACCCAGCAATTGCACTACTGGATATTTACTCCAAAGACACAGAGGTAGTGAAAAGAAGGACCATATACATCCCAGTGTTCATAGCAGCAATGTCCACAATAGCCAAATTGTGGAAAGACCCGAGATGCCCTTCAACAAATGAATGGATAAAGAAGATGTGGTCCATATATACATTGGAATATTACTCAGCCATCAGAAAGGATGAATACCCAACTTTTACATCAACATGAATGGGACTGGAGGAGATTATGCTAAGTGAAATAAGTCAAGCAGAGAAAGTCAATTATCATATGGTTTCACTTATTTGTGGAACATAAGGAATAGCATGGAGGACACCAGGAGAAGGAAGGGAAAAATGAGGCGAGGGAGGAATTGGAGGGAGAGACGAACCATGAGAGACTATGGACTCTGAGAAACAAACAGGGTTTTAGAGGGGAGGGGGGAGGGGGGATTGGTTAGCCCAGTGATGGGTATTAAGGAGGGCACGTACTGCATGGAGCACTGGGTGTTATACGAAAACAATGGATTGTGGATCACCACATCAAAAACTAATGATGTATTGTATGGTGACTAACATAACATAATTCAATTAAAAAAAAAAAGGAACATAAAAGCCATATGGCATGAAGACATTCTCCCTGCTTAAATGTTTGTCCTGATGGGTATCTGCTGTTAACTGGAAATGATCGGATTTATAAAGTTTGAGCATACAGAGGCAGTTTTAGTGAAACATATTGGAAATGCACTTTGTTAATAGGCCCTTGCAATTTCCTGTGGCATGGCTACATGAAGCAGTGGTTCTCCAAGTATGGTCCCACAGCCAGCAGCAGCAGCTGGGAACTTGTTAAGAATGCAATCTTTTGGTTTCTACTCCAGACTTACTGAGTCCAAAACTCTGCAGGTAGGATCTGGCCATCTGGGTTTATTGAGGCTTCCAGGTAATTCTGATGCCTGCTCACATAAAGAACCACTGGTGTAAACAAAAGCAAAGACACATCTCTTGGGCAAACCTGCAGAAAGCTTTCATCAATATCACACTAAGGACTTAGATGAATCTGGGGTTCTCCCCACCTCTGAGATCAGAAATACGGGCTTGAGGCTAAAAGACCCTGGCCCAGGTCAGTCCTTTGGTGGGGGTCTTTGGGCTTTTCCATGACCTTCCTGGAAATCATGGTTGAGCCTGGAAAGAATCAACTGTAACTCTGGGGGAATGGGAACAATGTCTGGCCTAGTCACTGCTTAATCTCCAGCACCCAAAATACCACCTGGTGCATAGTAAGCTTTAATGCATAGCTGAGTGGATGAATGAGTTTCCTTTCGTGCCTTCGAAAGGATGAGCAGCTCTGGGGCCAGCAATGGCTAGGTTGCTCATCTGGGTCCAAGAGGACACACTTTCAATGAATAGTGTTGTCAAGTTTTCCTGCACCAAGAGGCCAGAGTGGATGAAGCCCTTGCAATAAGAGTGACCCTGACAGCATTCTGCCCCTAGGATGAGGTGTAAGGAAAGACTCAGAGGGGTTCATCATATTCCCTTGTTCCCTACCCTCTGCTCTAAAGCCCACTTCTGGGGCAAAACTTTGGGAGTGATCCAGACCTCAGAGAGAGGATACAGGCACCTCGAGTTCTTCTGTCTAGGGCTCAGAGCAGCCAAGACCATCACAGAATGTTGATCACCTACCTTTTCCAGTTTAGAGTTCTCTTGAATGGCACAGTTTTCAGGACTATTTGAAAACTTTCTGCAATTGCTGCGGCCAATTTCAACATCAATAAAGTATTCCAAACGATCTGTAACCTGTCAATTAACAATGGTGCAATTTTATTCAAAAGATTTTTATTTTACTTTTTTAAAGTTTTAGTCAAAAAAAAAATCTAAAAAACACTCTCCCCCTCATCCTCTCTCCCTATTGCCTACTCCCTATCCCCTCTTTCCAACATACCTTTAGAGGAAGGCCTGGATTCTGCTGTATACTGATACCAGTTGAACCCTGGAAACCACTCCCCTGAGCTGTATCCTTGGGGAAAAGTCTCCTTTCCAGTGTGGGGCCCCAATGAAGGTGAAATCTTCCAATTCCACTTTCTGACCCAAAGTCCAGGGCATGCCATATCCTCCATGAAGGATCAGGGAGAAGGATGAGGTCACCAGAACCATCAACTCTCCTAGGCCTGAGATATTACAAGTTTGCACAGGCCAGAAGAAAGGACAGGCCCTGTGGCCACATTGGACACTCCTCCCTGATTCATTTCCCACACCCCCCTCAGAGTCTGTTATCTGGTGACATCTCCGGCTTTGGAGGGCTTCTCCACAACCTCAGCAAGCAGTCCTTAAAGGGGCCATGCTGGCTGGAGTTGGTCTTGCTGTTCTCTGTTGAGTGTTTAGTAAGCAGAGAAGCAATGGGTTTACAGCAAGGCATCAGTAGTTTCTGAACTCATTAATGGCTGAGTGTGGTTAAAGATACTCACGAAACTCATTTAAATCAGCTTTCATCTGGTTTTAAGAGATTACAGCAGGAGACAAAAGGGGTCTGCTATCTTCAAACCCTTAATAAAATTGTATTACATTTTAGCTACATTCCAAAGAATTAACAAGGTGACTCTGGCCTGCCATGGGGGAGAAGCTGGTTAGTTGACATCAAGAAGAGACTGGCAGAGCTGCCCCTTGGGTTGGAGAGTTAAGTTGGGTACCTTCAAGGCCCTGAATGGTCTAGTCCCTGCCCACCTCTCTGTCTAGTCACACTGGCTCCTTTGAGTTGTTGAATGGGCCATGCCCCTTTCCAGTGGCAGCCAGCTACATGTAACTGCTCTTCCCAACCCCTGTGCAGCCCCCCAATCCTCCTGGGCTCCCCTGCTGTAGTAGATGCTGTGAGTGGTGCCCATGTCCTTTGCTCTTCCCAAACACACTGCCACTTCCTGGGGCTCCCTACCTGGAGGTTTCCTGACCAGCAAGAGCCAAGAGCAGTTCTTAGCCAACAATGGATGGGAGTTGATGGGTAAGCAACTGATCTTCCCTCCTGCAGGGTGGCCAAACTCTGAGGCAGGCTCTGCATCCTTTCCCGAGGCCCCAGGGAGGCCCATTGTGGTCATCTGCACCGTAACTCACTCTGTTCTGGCCACTTTCCTGCCTTCTCTCCCTTCCCTTCCAGCCTCCTGGTGCTTACTGGGATGGCCTCCCAAATAAACTACTGGCACTTGAATTCTAGCACTGGGATCTGCTGTGGGAAACCTAAAAGAAAACACTTCCCACCAGCATCCTTCACCTGATCCCCTCCTAGTCTGCCCTCAGGTTTGGCACCAATATCACTCCCTAGAGAGGTGGTTCTCAGCCTTGACTGTGTATTGGGATCACTTGGAAGGTTTTAACACCACTGAGACCTGGGTCCTACCTAGAGATCCTCATTTAATTGGTGACAGTGAGGTCAGTGTGGTAGGACATTTGCAAGCTCCTCAGGTGAGAGCCTATCCAAGGAAGGCTTCCTTGACCTCCAGACTCCTGGGTACCACGCCACCAGGTCAGATGCTCCAGCTCTCATTCTGGGTTTGGCACTGTTTCTTTCTGATTAGACTGCTGGCTTCCTAGGAGTGTGATTATTTCTGTCTATCTCACCACCCCATGTACATCCCTGGCATAGGGCTGCTTAGGAGAAACTTGCTGAATATGTGTGCTAGTTGGATACCAAAGAAAGAGAACTGCAAAGGGGTCTGGAGAAGTTACAAGAGCCAGGATCCATCCCCCTACTTCAAAGGGATGCAGGAGTTCCCCAGGGGATTGTGCAGTGTGCCAGTCAATAAACAGAGCGCCATCAGAATGATATACTAGAAATACGGGCTGTTGGTTCACAAGGTCCCAAAGGGATGGGGTCATAAACGTCAATATGTACACTGGCTCAGCTCCTGCAAATGGACATGCCATATGGAGAATATAAAAACTGAAGTAAACTCTGCCAACAAGGACCTCTCCGCTGGGTACCTTTACAATTCATTCCCACAAGTTTCATGGTGGAATTACAAGCCACACCACCAACCCGCAGACTGAGGATGGTACAGTCAGCTCATTTCCAGCTCTGGGGGCTTTTCCTTGACCATGGCATGCAGGACCACATGTTGCAAGCTCTGGGGAGCATCATCCTCAATGGAATCCAACTAAGCAAATGCTTCCTAGCCTTGGGCCATGCATGACCCTGCGAGGAGGGATACATTTTTATGAGCATAGAATCAGAATGTGCTTCTACCAAACAAATGTTGGATTCAAAGAATTATAGACTATAGGAGGAGAGACTTTATTACCTACACATTAGATAAGCCACATGTCTTTTTTCAACCACACAATTTACGTTATGCAGATAGATGGAAATGTTGCCCAAGGCAGCATTATTGCAAAATATTCATGACACTCAATTTGTCTCCCAGCCCTAGCAAATACAAATCATGAACCTGTGATTTGCAGTTTGTAGTTTACGTGAGTTAGTACACATAAAGAACTTAGAACAACAGCAGAAGCATATATAGAAAGTGCAGTGATGTCACAGTGACCTGCAAATGTGTAAGTACTTGATCACTCACATATTTAGGACTTTTATATATCATTGTTTTTCTCCCATGCCCACTCTTTCAGTCCAGCTTCAATCTCTCCCACCATAGGCACACATGCATGGTGCGAGGGAACAACTTTACCTGCAGCTGGACTTGTACTGTCTTGACCACCTGGAAGAGGTACTTATCCTCACTCTCTTTGTTGTATTCTTGCATGGCAAACCAGAGACATTGCTTCACGTTGGCATTTGAGGCATTGACCACTTTTAATTCCCTCAACACCTTGACCTTATTCTTGCCTGGGTCTGTGCTGGCCACCAGGGCCAGCAAAATGGTAAGCAGGAGCAAGCAGGACCCCCAGGATCTAGTCATGATCCCTCCATCCAGGGACAGAAGTGAGCCTCCTCGTCCTCCCATGGCTAGAGCTGCAGGCGGGGTGGGATGGCTGCGGTTGCTGCAGGTTCAAAGATCTAAAACAGCTTCAGCCCAGCTGGATTCAAGAAAGAACCATTAGGTCCACCCTTTAGGGCTATCCCTGTCTCTAAGGAAATCAACCCACAAGAAACCAGTTAAAGAGTCCCTGCTACCAGCCATCCACCCTCCATCCCCCGGATATGGTCTGCAATTTCAGGGAGAACACTTAGACCCAGTCTGCCAGGACCTACCCTGGTCACCTCACTGCCCACTCCTGTTTCTTCACCTCAGCCTGTAAGTTGTGACTGTGAAAAGCGTTGCTTCCCCAAGTTTTCCTGGCTCCAGCTCTCTGGGGACTTTCCAACCTGCTGTGCCCACTGGCTGCCCCCTCTTCCTTGTGTAGTTGTCTGTGGCCCACACCCCAGCCCGTGGTTCTCCTGGGTCTCTAGCACTCAGTTTGTGCCTAAGCCCTGGTCAGGGGTCTCCCTCAGTGCTGAACTCTGCTCTCTCCATGCCCCTGTAGGCAGGGCACACTTTGTGATGTAATCCAGCACCTGTGACACAGCCACTGTCCTCCAGTGCAGACAGCTCACACACAGCAGGCAAGCTGTGGGGACCACCCAGAGGTCTCCTGCTCACCTGTGCAGTGACCCCAGCTTCCTAAATGCCTAGCTTCTGGACCCCCACTGTTTGGACCAATAGCACTTCCCTCTGCCGTCTTGCAAGGGTGAGGGTCACCCAGCCAACCTGATGGTGGAAGCTGTGCCTTAGCGGGAGGGGGCCCATGCATCCCCTGAGTTCTCAGAGATTCTGCTTCTCTGTGAAAATCCCAAATCAATGTCCAGCAAGTTCCTGGAGGGGCCAAGAGGTGGGCATTGGTCCCAGGGCCAGAAGATTGATGGGCTCTTGACCATGAGAAGTGGCAATGTATAGGAAACAATATGCAGGTATAAGTCTGCTTGGCAGGTTGTAAATTGTTGCAGTGTGAATATACCATATTGTATTTTAACTGCCTATTAATGGATGTTCTGTTTCCCATTTACAGCTGTTACAAACAGTACTGTAGTGGACAATACTTTTCCAATATCTTTGTGAAATTACACAGGTATTTCTGTATAATAAATGACTAGATGCAAAAGCTTCACTTAAATTAAAATTTAGTATATATTGCCCAATTGTTAATCATTTATTAATAATGTATTAATGATTTTGAAATTTTACTACATGTTAAAAGCACCTGGGGAGTTTTAAGAAGTACCTAGGCCACTCAGACCAAAAAAATCAATCTTGCGAGAGGGCCAAGTGACGAGGAAGCCATCCCAGGTTCCAGTGTATAGCCGTGTCTGAGAACCAGTGTACTGCATTTGTGCCTCTTGAGTATCAATGTACATGTGAACCAGGAGGCAAAACACTAAAAATGATCTTCGTAAATAAAAACTTTTATTAAAAAATGCAAGTCATCTTGATCACACTTTGTGTGCACCCACATCTTCAACATCTCTAATAGCCTCTCCCACTTCACCAAGGACCAAGTGGCACCCTGCCTCTACACCTAGGCCCAGCCTCCTTACCAGGGCTTGATATTCCCTCACCTCCACCCAGAGGCTCAGCCACCTACAAGTCTCAATATGCATGTCACTGCCTCCACCCAAATCTAAAGTGTCTCTCCCACCTACTCCCAGCTACTCCTGCCTACCCTCACCTATTCCCAGCTACTCCCCTCTACTCCTACCTACTCCCCCTACTCTCACCTATTCCCAACTACTCCTGTCTATTCCCAGCTATTCCCACTTACTTCCAGCTACTCCCAGCTTCTTCTGCAAGAGTCATTCATTGCTCCTGAGGCCAAGAGGATAATTAAGGACCAACCCCAAAGACACAGCCCAGTAGACAGGGAGCCCACTTCAGAAGGTCTTTGGAGCAAGAAGTCCCACCACCCCAGGTTCCACTGAGCCTGCGTTGCTAGAGTAAACTGCCCCTTAACCCTTTCCAAATTAACCGCCAAATTCAAAACATCTGTTTGATTTTCTCTGACTCTATGATGCATTTGTGTTTTTTGTTTGCTTGTCTTTTTCTTTTCTTATGAACCCTAGTTGCCCAGAGTTTGCTTAAACATCATCCTTTCCTTTGTTCATGACACACCTGGCATTGGTTCATGTGTGGCTGTATAAGACAGTGAACAGCCCACAATCCATCACCTAAACCAAGAGCCAGAATGTTATCAATATCTGACAATATGTGCTCCTTTGTTATCCAGGACACCTCGTAACATCCCTGCCTTTACTCAAGAGTTTAATCACCAGTGTCGGCACACCTGACATGCTCAGTTTTGCTCGGTTTTGTACTCTATAAAAGGGTATCTATTACAGTGTATGTAAGACTCCTGGGACTTAGATTTTTACATTCAGCATTATATAACCCAGTGTTACAGACTGAGTCATTCCTGCAATCCTTCAAGCTTTCCTGTTTAAGAATACTTCCTTTGTGCCCTTTGCAGTGACTTCTCAGGGCCTCCCCTACAGTGCATGGAATGTATTTCTCCATTCATGTGATGGGTTTGAGCATATGGCTGGTTTAGCACTGTGCAGTAGAGGCAGAAGTGACCATGTGTCAGGATAATGGTGAGATGTGAAGACATACTGCATTTGTGCACTTGTTCTCAGGTGATTTTCCAAGGTAAGGGGTGCCCTAGAATGTAGTCTGAGAATGTGCTATGTAGGAACACCTAGTCTGGACTCCAGAACAATGTTCTGAACCTACCTGAAAGTGAGCCCAGGTGCATCAACCTAAAGTGAAGCCATAGCAGCATGCTTCCTAGACCAGTGTAGTGTAAGTGCCTGATGTAAAGTTTATTGATTGTAATGTAAGTAATATATTGAGCTATTGACTTCCAAGGCATTCATTTCAAAGATGTCTACCTCAAACAAACACTGCAGCTATAGGACACACCTACTAGCAAACAACGAGATAAGGAAGCAGGCCACCCCACCCATGAAGGTCCCTTTTTCAGAAAGCCCTGGGTGGCTTAGATACATGACCATGTGAGTGACTCTGCTTCCCCCTTCCTATGCTCCACCTCCTGCTCTTTTTTTAAGTTTTTTTTTTAATTGATGTAAGTAACCTCTACACTCAACATGGGGCTCAATCTCACGACACTGAGATCAAGAGTCACACACTCTTCCAATTGAGCCATCCAGATGCCCCTCCACTTCTGGCTCTTATACTTTAAATTCACTGATAAAGAGTGAACCCATGAAACCCTGGATACCCCACCCTCAGCCTCTAATAAGGTGAAGCCTCAGGTCTGTTCTCTCTCTCTCTCTCTGTCTCTCTATTGAGACTGCACTGAACCAGGGAGGTGTACCACATACCCACCAGGACTTGTGAGTAAATAAATTTTGTTTTCCAAAGTTCCCTGATGGTTTTGCTGAGGTGTGTCTTGCTATTACAATAACCACGAGGGCCAGTCTAGCCACATTGTCCTGGTGGGACATAGGGGGAATATCTGTGGGGCTTGCTATTAGAAAAGACAGGCCCAAGTGTTGCCTCAAGCAACACTGTGAATAGGTTGACAACTGTCAATCAAGCTACAGTCAGCCTTCAGACCCATACACCAGATAATGGATGCTTATTTTGGTTCGCTAAAGGGTAAGAAATGAGTTAGTATACAGCATTTCTTTGCCAAGAGCCGACTAGTAATCTAAAATACACCCAATTAAAACGGTATTGCTAGTTTGTTCCCACTTCTGCATACGTTGGCACTTCTACTTTTCTCCTTTACATCAGTTCATTTTTCTCTTTCTTATCTTATTTTCCTCTCCTGCTGCCTTCTGAGAGCATTTCCCAGACAGCTTGTCCACCCTGTGATTCACTCCTCTCGTGTCCATCTTAATACCCTATCCATTTCCCTGCTATACCTATTCACCCCTTGGGTTTTTTATATCTAGTGTTTCCATGTGATTCTTTTTTTCTTCTTTTTTTAAAATAAATGTTTGTCTTTTTTTTTAGATTATGAAAACCTTTCTTTACCTTCTTAAACATTTTATCTTGTTTGTTTTAAAATTTTCACCAATCTTTTCTGACAATTCTACTTCAGAAGGTGTTATTATAGAGCAGGGATCAGCAAACTTTTTCTGTAAAGAGGCAAATAGAAAATATTTTATGCTTAGAGACCATGTGGTCTCTAAGAATTTCTCAGCTGAACCACTATAGCATGAAAGCCACCAGAGGCAATATGCCTCTGTTCCAATAAATATTTCTGCTCTAATAAAATTATTTATAAAAACATGCTGTGGGCCAGATTTGGTCCATGGGCCATAGTTTGATCATTCCTATTTAGAGTATTAAGTTGAACCAAAAGGAATTGCTAATATTTGACTGGTACTGATCTATAAAAATAGTTGTTTTGTATGGTTTGGCTTAATAATTGTACTCCTCAGGTATGCAAGTCCACATTCCCCCGAGATATAACAGCTGCTCTGTCTGGAATTGTGACCTGGATTAAGACTCTAAATTGACTGAATTTAAGGAAGAGAGAGGGGATGCATCCCAGAGTATAAAGGCCCAGGGACCCTAGAGCCTTCATCAATCACATCCTTTGCTGCCACCCCGCCAAGCAATGCCTGCAGTGAGGGATTCACCCTTAAATTCTGATGAGGAAACCTTGAGAGCAGGCAGGCCCCCTAAAATGCAATCCGCTTGTTTTGGTTTTCTGTTGCTGCTGTTACACATTACCACAGACTGAGTAGCTTAAAATAAACAACACAGATTCATTATCTTACAAGTCTGGAGGTCAGAAGTCCAGAACAACTTTCACTGGGCTGAAATCAAGTACAGGCAGGGCTGCATTCCTTCTGGAGACTTTACAGGGAAATGTATTTCTTTTTCTTTTGCAGCTTCCAGAGGCTGTCTAAATCTCTTGGTTCAGTGCCCCTTCCTCCATGAAGCCTCTTCAAATCTCTCTATATATATCAACTTCTTTCTCTCTCTCTGTCAAGCTCTCTCTCTCTCTCTCCTCTGCCACTTCCATCTTCACATCTCTGTCTCTGACTCTGATTCTGAGCCTCCTGCCTCCCCTATTACAAGGACCTTTGTGGTTACAGTGGGCCTACCCATATAATCCAGAATAATCTCCCCATTTCAAGATTCTCCATTGCATTTGCAAAGTCCTACATGCAAAATGTATTCACCCCAAGCCAACATTCCCACCAGGAATTCATTACACCATCACAGCAGGAGATTTGGAGTAGGCTAGATAGCTACGTGGAAGTAGACTCTTTTTTTTTTCAAAGATTTTATTTATTTATTAGAGAGTGAGTGAGAGAGAAACAGCATGAGAGGGGAGAGAGTCAGAGGGGGAAGCAGGCTCCCCACCAAGCTGGGATCCCAATGCGGGACTTGATCCCAGGACTCCAGGATCATGACCCGAGCCGAAGGCAGTCGCCCAAACAACTGAGCCACCCAGGCACCCTGGAAGTAGACTCTTGA